TTAGCGTCCAGCGCTATATAAAGCCCAGCTTAGCGTCCAGCGCTATATAAAGCGACGATGGAACAAAGCTGCTGCTCGAGAGATCGCACGTCACAAGTAAATAACTGCTCGGCAAGACCGATGCTCTCCTCAACTACGAAAAAATAACAAGAAAACTCGCTTGTGTGCTTGTCTGTTGTTCTTGGGAGAGATCGGGGCCAGATTGGTGTGTATCAAGTATATAAAACCGCTTGATTTGAAATAATCCGGTGTGTGAACATATTGTGTTGTGGTTGCAGTAGATGTAGATACCAGGTTAAATGCTTGTGTCTTGGAATTATTAATTATTTTTTTGCAAATTAACTAATTCTAGACTTAGGGTTGAGATTTCTGAGAGGAACGGGCTGGCTACTCTCAGGTAATTGAAACTTAGATTGAATCGGTTGATTAGCTTTCATTAAAAAGACAACTATTCCATCATTTTCAAACAAGAGATAATCGTCACAAACACGCATCTCTCAATTATAAATATAAACTTCAAATGAAATTAAATTCGAAGACTTGGTCCTGCTCCTTGAACGACGCTACTTCATTGTTTCGACAATGTATTTCATAATTATCAGAATTAAATAATAATTATATAATTATAATTATAATTCTTCATATAATAATTATTTATGTTAATAATTTATTAAACCCTCCAATTTAGTTGTGTGTTCTATCACGCTAAAAGCGAAGAGTTCTAGTATGGATGCGATAACCACGGCCGGCGTATGTACGGCCGACCGTCAGCAAGCGGTGATAGGACAAGAAAGTTAACAAGGCAGCGCCGGGGGATTTGGCGGCGTTCCAGCCTTGTACGACCAAACTAAGATTGCAACTACCAGCGTTGCTGGTGGCTATAACAACGCTATAACGTATATTGCAACTACCAGCGTTGCTGGTGGCTATAAAGCGTAGCTCGTGGCTATAACAACGCTATAACGTATATTGCAACTACTAGCGTAGCTCGTGGCTATACCAACGCTATAAAGTATATTGCAACTACTAGCGTAGCTGGTGGCTATACCAACGCTATAACGTATATTGCAACTACTAGCGTAGCACGTGGCTATACCAACGCTATAACGTATATTGCAACTACCAGCGTTGCTGGTGGTTATAACAACGCTATAACGTATATTGCAACTACCAGCGTAGCTGGTGGTTATAACAACGCTAAAACGTATACTGCAACTACCAGCGTTGCTTGTGGTTATACCAACGCTATAACGTATATTGCATTCTTCTTGTATCTGCTAAAAACATTGATCTTCTTAATTACAATTTTTGCCATAAATGGACCTTTATCGAACCTTAAAACATAGATGAAGTCAAAATAGAATATCCGTCCTGAGTATTCGAAGAATTTGAAATCAATTTAATTGTCAACAAATGAATATTCAATTTACCATATACATCTTTCGATCACATAAATTAACATAGATATAAAACAAAACAATTTTTAACATGGATTTTTTTTAATTGCAATGTTTCGCACTAACTTCGTCATCCATTGTCATTCACTGTACTGTCATCGCTCCACGGTTATCAAACCATTCACTCCGCTGAATGGTTTGGAACAGAGGCGCAAAAACATAAACATGAGCAGCAGCATGAGCAGCACGCTGAGGCATAGTCACGTAACCTGAGGGCACTGATCTTTTTAAGCGAAGGTTTGCATGGCCGCGTAAAAATCGACCTTACTCGCCTCTCAAACGGCTAGCTTCAAATTGCCGGCATGAACATCAGTTTGAACAGCAGCATGAGTAGCAGCATGAGTAGCAGCATGAGTAGCAGCATGAGTAGCAGCATGAGTAGCAGCATGAGTAGCAGCATGAGTAGCAGCATGAGTAGTATGAGAAGAAGCATGAGCAGCAGCAAGAAGGCCGGGTTAAGGTGGAATTTTATGACATATTAGACCGGGCCGGCAATTTGAAGGCAGCCGTTTGAGAGGCGAGTTAAGGTCGATTTTTACGCGGCCACGCAAACCTTTGCTTAAATGGTCTATTTAGCCCTGCCCTGGCCCACATTATCTCGTGAGTTTTGCCAGCTTTTGCTTACTATTTTATGAGGTGGATTGAGTAGGCCTAAGGAAACACAATACCAAAACTCTGTAATTTATAGAAACCTGCAATTATTCTGAAACACTTGTGGTTTTCCAAATCCCATGATCGATGGAGAAAATTTACCTTGAAAATATATCACTAAATTAAAATAAATTTAGCAAAAGAGATCAGTGCATTCAGATAGCGAGGTCACGTGACTGAGTGACGTGTTACAGCGAACATTGCCCTCAGTTAGTGAAGCCCTCAGTTAGTGATGCCCTCAGTTAGCGAGGTCGCGCTACCAATTGAGTTACAAGATAAGGCGCGCCTGAGGCCATTTGTTGGCTGGCATATAATCGTGGTTTAGAAAACGCCGAAGCCCGCAAGATGCCGCGGTTCTCACGGGTCTGCCGTGCGTTGGCGAGAACAAATGGCCTGGGGCGGTGCAAGAAAGCGGCGTGTGGGGCGCTGAGACCGGGCGTGCCGGTGTCGTGAGGGCAAGATCTGCAATAATTCCTAGCTGGGAATAGAAGGAAACTGGTAGTAAAGACAAAAGAAATGAAAAGACGCAGGAGTGTAATTTCTCAGATGGGAAGAAGAAACAAAACGGGGAAAAAGGCGGGCTGAAAGCAAGACTCGGATAATAGAGGAGTGCCAGAAGTTGGAATAGAGAATAAATAAAGATGGAAGTCCGGGAAGGCGGTAGGACGAAAACTGATTGGCTCTTCTAAATAAAAAAGTAAAAAAGAGCTTAAAAACTAAAAAAATACTATGGAACTTATTAATGTATAGTAAAAGAGTAGTTCTACGCACGCGCTCAAATCTACATGTAAAATATAAATATAAATGAAACCCTATATTTTGGTCTCTTTTCTACTTATGACTGTGCTTCGACAAAAAAAAGCATCCTATATTTTTGAGCTAAACTTGAAGTTTTTTTTAGGAGTTACCCCCTCAATCTGAGCTCTTTACTGATGACTGAGCAGTACACGCGTTCCGACAAATCGTGACCGCAATGCCGGATGACGGAAACTCAAACCAAAACAAGTCGATCGATCCAACTCTTGTGATTCCTTCTGATCGAGTCGGGATTGTCTTTCCCCGAAGGATTCCTCGCTAGATTGTAGATTGATTCCTTGGGACTGATGCAAAAAAAGCGCAAATGCTTGGTTGCATGCGAGGGCCCTGCGGTGGCTGGTGAGTCATGGCCAGTGAGCGAGGAATAAATAAATGAATGAGATTCTGTTGAATGATGATAGATATAAAAAATTAAAAATGACGGTTTTTTGTGACCTGTGATGCACGCATATCAAAAGTAAAAAATATAACTTAGTACTCACTGCAGCGAGTGACAGAGAGCGCATTTTCTCGTCGACGAAAAACGTGAAGTCACGGATGGACAGACTGACGGACGGACATGGCGAGCACAATAGCACATTTTTTCTATAAATGAGACAATGCGCTAAAAAGCGTGAACTCGAAGACATTTTTATTTTTATTGTTAGGTATTAACATATTATTATTATTGGAATGACTGAAGAAACACTCATCACATAACACTGATTGCGTAGGATATTTACGGGATATGTGATTGTATATGTGATGAAGTTATATCGGCCTCTAGTGTATCGGAGCTGGTGGATGCATATGAAATCAACGCGAGTTTCAACAGAGTTTTGTTTAAATCAAATTGAACGATGGAATTCAAGCTCATTATTTCTAGTCAATATAAAAATAAATTTAAATCAAGATATTCTTGTGATTCATGACTTTGTTTGAGAGAAAGAGTATGACTTAAGACGATAGATGATTCAATCATGCGAGATATTGCTTCCCACATTCAGAAAAATGAGCGAGGGCTTGTCCTAATTGTGATGTATTTCTTGGGCTTCTGTGGGTCATCCTGAACCAATTTATCCCGCCAAAAAGGCGTGTCAGTGTTAGCTCTCCGCTCCTTAATTGATGGTGCATAAAAGTGTAAATTTTGGACAATAAGATCCATTCGTTTGTGTGAGTGCATAGATCGGGTTGTCATACAATTATTCCGATACACAAGCGTGTACAATCGAAGAACAATTTATATATGAGCCCGAAAAAAACGTACTTCCTTCAATAGTGAGATTGAGAATTTGAAGCTAAACAATACCTCTGGAATTTATTAAACCATTTAATTTTTCCTTTCTTTATAACTACTGTTTACCTTCTAACGTGAAGACATTGCTTGTACTGTAAGTGATCTATATTGATAAAAAGGCTACCTGTGGTTGTTCCAGAGCTTGTCTCGCACCGCAATAATCGCACGCTTTTTGCGGTCCCTAGAATTCGGGATGACAAGCGATAACTTGTTAGCGTTGATGTGAGATGATCATCCCCGTGGCAAATAAGAGATCAATGCTGATGTCCTCCCGCACATTGCCTGTGGAAACTTCTAGTGACGCTAATATTTTGAGCGGAAGAGGCACGTGGAAATAATGTATAATTAATTGTAATATAAATAATATCCATATTCGTCATCAAGGCTGTAGTTTGAAAGCAACGGGTAATTCATTGACGATTTGATGTTGAAGTTTATTGGTGCAGGTCTTAGCACTTTGCTATTCGTTATTTTTTAATATATATAAGAATGCTCGTTTATGCTTAAGAGCAGCGCAAACAATGCGAATGTTATAATGGACTTTCATGGAAATCGAAATGAGAAGTAATAAATTCAATAATAAATTTTCGTTCTGATAAAAATTATGTGAATTTCCATTATTTTCCTATTTATTATTGTTATTTCTATTATTTATTATTGTTACTTTCCTATTTATTATTGTTAATTTATATCTCATTTATATTATTTAAACGTATTTCTCAATTACGAAGATTCAAAATGATGAATTTATTTATCATCAATGATTCAGAATAATCATTTCATGTCATCTCCCGCGCCAGGTTCTATAAGGATCACCGACATCTTCGTACCGGCGCTGAAGATGGCCGGAGAGTCGGCGTCGCTGGAGTGCCGCTACAAGAAGAGTGGCGGCGACAAGCTTTACTCGATCAAGTGGTGGCGCGACAGCGACCAGTTCTACCAGTACATACCTAGGAACACCCCAGCCAAACTACCCTTCAATGTCAGCGGCATCAACGTGAACGTGAGTGTATATTCGTCGTGGGTAATTAAATATGTTATATAAATGAAACATACCGTATGAAATAATATAATTTGGTGTTCTTGGCGAGAATGAATGGAAGATATCAGTTCATGTTGCATCTATAGTAGATTTACACTTGATATGACGCTAAAAGTACACGAGATTGATTCTTCGACAGCATTTGCAATGTGAGTATCGCTGTATTATTAACAATAAAATCTAAAAATTTTCGTAGGTTACAAAGTTTGCTCACTCATATTTTATTTTTACCACAGAAGTTTTTTGTCTGCAGTTTAGTATTCACAGAAAATATAACTATGCATCCAACGTAACCGCATTTTGAGGATGGGTGAAAACCTTTACATTATTAATTGACAAATTTTTCATAAATTAATAGCAGATCGAAACGCAAAACTCTTTCTCCAATGAATAAAACTCAAGGCGTGTTTACAGCGGTCGACCGCCAGCAATGCATTAGTCAACGGGTAAGAATTAGATTTGTTTGTTAGATTGAAGTCGAATTGCGAGGCAGGGAGTTGAGAGGGCTGCGCGAGGGGAGAGCAATTAAGGTTGGGGGTCGCAGTGGGTGAATAATACCAATCGTACCAGCAGGGAGACCGAACCTGGCGCTGCTGAAAACTATGCCATAATCAGCAAGTGTGGCACTGATGCACAATTAAAAATTATGCAGAAATCAATCAGTTGATCTATTGGTGGTGGGTGATATATTTTTAGGCGTATTTATTGGACTCACGATCCCTTTATATGAACCAAAGGATTACCGATTGGATGGCTGATGTTGCAGTTGATCTCTCGGTACAAGAGCTACTTGTACATAATGAATTTGTAAGACACAATTCCAGCCAAGTGAAATATATATGGGCAAATGATCAATAAGGAAAAAGATCCAAATAATCTATGTAACAATCTAAGAACCCAACAATAAAATAATTTTGATGTTTATTAATTATTAGACTTTCAAAACACTCCACTACTATTTATTGGAGTAACAACATGCTCCCCTACATGATAACTCGTAGAGGTATGATAAATATTTACATCGTAAGTACACTGTATAAGAGACAATGTGTAGACTACATAGACAAAATCGTAGTTCACTTTAAACATGATTAAAAAGGGGTTTATTTTAAAAAATGAATGTCTCCCCAGCCATTAATGGACAGTCAATAGTACGCGTAAATAAATGTGAGCATGAGTGGAACTAAAGATGAATATAATTGAGAGCAAATATTTATGATAATGGAATAAAAATGATATCATAAAATGATGAATATAAAGTTTGGGCGTATTTGTATTTGAAAGTATTTGTTTAATATGATTATTACAAAGTAGAATGGCACTTCACCTGGCTTGCCATACAGCCTGTGCTTTATATACACCAGGCCTGTATATGGGTTGTACAGCCTACCGTATGTGTGGGCTATGAAGCGGGCCTATAAACATGCATGGGCTGTATAGCAGTTCTGTATATCGGTCCAGCGGCGTCGTCATGGCGTCCGCGGCACCAATTACGGAGACCAGCAAACATACAGCTGCAGCTACAGCAGCAGCAAACACAGCTGCAGCGACAGCAGCAGCAAACACAGCTGCAGCGACAGCAGCAGCAAACACAGCTGCAGCTACAGCAGCAGCAAACACAGCTGCAGCGACAGCAGCAGCAAAGACGGCTGTAATAACAGCAGTAAAATGTGCAAAAAAATTGACTTGTACCAAGCAGCTACCACGTAAAATTCAATAAAACAGCTGTAGTGTTGCGTCCAGCCAAACTCTAAACAAATGTACCGGTTTAGACTGTCGAGCCAATAACAGCCAGAAGCTTCACTGTGTCAGGGCGTGATGAGGAGAAGCAAATTCACCAAGAAACCAAATAAAATAATGAGACAAGCATCGGCGCATAATATTATAGTAGAAAAGAACGTAAACAAAAATTATCAGTGAGTGTAGCTACGAAATTGAAAATTAAAAGAAAAATTAAATTAACTGTAATAAAAAAGCAGAAGAAATTAATCAACATGAAAACTAATAGCAACAGCAGCCACACCTGTACCAGCTGTAAAAGAATAATATTTGCAAGATAAGTTTCAGCAATTACTAACAGTCCTAGCAATATTTTATACAATTGTCAGTCTCTACTGCAAGCAGCAGCATTAACAAGTGACAGTCTCGACTACAAAAAATCAGCTTTAGCAAGTGACAGTCTCTGCTACAAAAAACAACATTAGCAAGTGTCAGTCTTTACTGCAAACAACTTAAAAAATTGTCAGTCTCTACTACAAACAAAAGCATTAGCAATTGTCAGTCTTTGCTGCAAAAAAAACAGTTTTAATAAGTGACAGTCTCTACTACAAACAACAGCATGAGCAATTGTCAGTCTTTGCGGCAAAAAAATAGTTCTAATAAGTGACAGTCTCTACTACAAATAACAGCTTAAGCAAGTGACAGTCTCTACTACAAATAACAGCTTTAACAAGTGACAGTCTCTACTACAAATAACAGCTTTAACAAGTGACAGTCTCTTCTTCAAATAACAGCTTTAACAAGTGACAGTCTCTTCTTCAAATAACAGCTTTAACAAGTGACAGTCTCTACTACAATAACAGCTTTAACAAGTGACAGTCTCTACTACAGATAACAGCTTTAACAAGTGACAGTCTCTACTACGAACAACAACATTAGCAAGTGACAGTCTCTACTACAAATAACAGCTTAAGCAAGTGACAGTCTCTACTACAAATAACAGCTTAAGCAAGTGACAGTCTCTACTACGAACAACAACATTAGCAAGTGACAGTCTCTACTACGAACAACAGCATTAGCAAGTGACAGTCTCTACTACAAATAACAGCTTAAGCAAGTGACAGTCTCTACTACAAATAACAGCTTTAACAAGTGACAGTCTCTACTACAGATAACAGCTTTAACAAGTGACAGTCTCTACTACAGATAACAGCTTTAACAAGTGACAGTCTCTTCTTCAAATAACAGCTTTAACAAGTGACAGTCTCTTCTTCAAATAACAGCTTTAACAAGTGACAGTCTCTTCTTCAAATAACAGCTTTAACAAGTGACAGTCTCTTCTACAAATAACAGCTTAATCAATTGCTAGTCCCAACTACGAACAACAGCAAACAGGATAACAACGAAGCCACGCAGAAAAAAGTTGACTGGGTAAGATATATATAGAGATAGAATCTTTAAATAATTTTCACATGTTGTGCCGTGTGGAAATTGCCTTTGTAATACTCTTTTCCAGAAATTAAGTGCAATTTATGTTAAGGGGCTTAATAGTGAGTTTAAATCCAGACGTTCACGACTTCCGATCTGAAAAGATTACTTTTAAATTTTTGCCGAAGAATCAAATTAAAATCAAATAAATCGATTGCTTGTAAGAATAGACTGTGCTTGAATTAGGAATTTGCGGTGTTAAATTATGAACTAAATGTCAACCGAGGTGAGCGGAAATTTTGTAAATAAAAGTTTAGATTTTGCACTTACAGTGCCTACTAAATTGGGGAAAATGTATTTAGTAACGAGATTAAATGGATGTTATGATATAAAATACAATTCAAGTGGCATATATACAGAATACATTGAAATTTGCGTCCACACAAAATCTTCGCACGTATAGGGTAATGTGAGAGAAGTCGATACGTTTGGAACGAAAGCTTCACTTGATAGTTAATGAAGTGAACAATTTGGTCATTAACACAATTTTTCTGTTGTGCACACTGTTTCATTTGCGAAAAAGTTCATATGACATTCATTTAATAGTTTATTCATGAAAAATAAATTATAAATTGAATCTATAGAATAACCAAAATTCTCTTGTATGAGAATGTACTTACGTTCGAAATAAATTCAAGATTTGAATCAGTTTAAAGCAATTTTTGTCACAATCCAAAACTTGTTCTTATTAACAAATCATGGTTCAATCCAAGTCGCAATTCACATCTGAATACTAGTCACAAATCAAGTCATATTCTTTGTCGCAATTTTGGACTCAACCTGAGTCATTATTTGAGTTTCTAATCTAGTCCCAGTTAAACTCTCTAACCTATATATAGTCTCAGTCCAAGTCTCGCTCTTAGTCTCAGTCATAGTCTCGCTCTCCGTCTCAGTCCAAGTCTCGCTCTTAGTCTCAGTCCAAGTTTCGTTCTTAGTCTCAGTCCAAGTCTCGCTCTTCGTCTCAGTCCAAGTTTCGTTCTTAGTCTCAGTCCAAGTCTCGCTCTTCGTCTCAGTCCAAGTCTCGCTCTTAGTCTCAGTCCAAGTCTCGCTCTTCGTCTCAGTCCAAGTTTCGTTCTTAGTCTCAGTCCAAGTCTCGCTCTTAGTCTCAGGCCAAGTCTCGCTCTTTGTCTTAATTTAAGTCCCACTTCAAATGTTTATATTTTTCCAACATTCTATAGTCTAGGTTCTACTTAAATGACTTATTATGAACTCTATTAATAAATATATAATCAAATCAAGCAATTTATCCTCTCCGCCACATGGGACTGCCCCAAAAATACACTGAATCCTGAATGCCGCTGTGAAGACGACGTTATTTTGTTTATTTTTGCACGCGTATAAGGCAATAAAATTTTATTATAATCCATCGCTCATATCGTAATTCTGGCGAATTAACGGTAAGCAAGTAAAAATGTCTATATCATTTTCGTACATCCAAAGCACGTATACATGATTATTCTAGAGAAGTCCAAGTTCTACATGATTTTCATAGTACGGATCGGCTATGAAATATTTATTACCACCACAAAAGCGAAGCTCAACCATGAGTGCATATGGAAAACGGTGCGTAGAATCTTCGGTGCGTTAGTAGGGATAAGTTAATTTGCTGATTGTGCATTCAGAAGGCTCGCTGTGCGTATATAAAGATAGTTATAAAATTTTGAGCAAGACATATAGTAAGAGTGGAAGGTCGGGTTATCGCCTGGCTTTAGACGTCATAAAAACGCAGCAATTGCGGTACGCCCAACAAATAGCGGAATGCGTCGATCATATATGAACTTAACGACCGAATACAGCTATACGCATGCAACTGAGCACAGCTATACGCATCCAACTGAACACAGCTATACGCATGCAACTGAACTGAGCACAGCTATACAATGCAACTGAACACAGCTATACGCATGCAACTGAACACAGCTATACACACAGCTATACGCATGTAACTGAGCACAGCTATACGCATCTGAGTATGGATCATTAGTATTGTAAGCATGCAGACCATTTTGTATTTGCCTCCAAAGATTACGGAGTCAAATGAACTATAAGACTAGAATAATAAAATAATATGCGATCATTAATGTATATCTTGCACAACTGGGTGAAGTTATTTATAACACAGGTACCAAAAATTGGATGTCTAAATGTAAACAAAATGTTTCACGTATTAATTTGATTAAGATGATGTATTATGCTATAGAAATAAAGTTTTCTAATGTACAGCGCACTGATATGTGTAACGCGAGAACGGGTTTTCGGGCTAACTTTTTTTATATATGTTACCTCAAATTATTAGGTATGCATGGCGAGCAGGAAGATCTGATGAAACACGCCCGTACAGTATAAACTGTGAAATTATATCGTGTTTTAGTTGTTGATAACTAAAATAATCCAATATGTATTCCACACTTTTTTGAAGAATTTATAAGCAGTTTTTTTAGTGTTTGAATTTGGAGATTTATCACTATAGTCTGAAAATAAACAATGAAAATTTCTATAAATACTTTACATGATCACAGGCTAGAAATGAAGCACCTAAGCCAACAATCTTCCTGCAAATCCCGACGAAGATCGAAACGAGCGAGCAATTCTTGCGGACGCATATCAGGCGTGCGGCGTCCGCAGATTTTATTCCGTTCGGCCGCAATACATAGAAATGACTTCAGAAGCACTTTTGTTTGAGGCTTTGTTTGGAGCGAAGGATCTTCCCGATATCCTTCCAAGCTGGACGCGCTTCTTCCAGCCCAACCTCCTACTGAAGGACTAAAGCAATTTATTTAGCCCTGAGGACAACGTTCATTTAGCAATCTGGAAGATCTCTATGAACGAAATAAAGAAAATAAAAGATCAAAATTAAGATTAACGGAAATTATATTTTAATAAGGAAAATATGAATTAATAATATCGAGCTTACGTACGAAGAAGAAGGAAAGTTGAGGCTGGCCGATTTTTGAGCAAGAACCATTTGCACGCCGTAGGGCTCCCATTGCGGAGAAATCAGAAGTGTTTTTGGTTGCGTTAACCTCGACCAGATTTCCTTAACTAGCGACGTGAGAAGAATCCTCAATAAATGTTAGCAGATACGAAAACAGTTGCGTGAATTGCTGGTTTCGGTTTTTCTTTGCTAATATTGCACATTGGAAAATGGGATTGCTTCGCGAATGGAGTTCAACAACTACGTTATCTCCTCTGATAAGCGGATTTTGTATACAGCGAATAGGGAAATAAAAAACATTCAATTTATGTGTCAATTTTTTAATATATATATCTTACCAATATAAAAGATGTTTTTTTGTGTAACAAATAACTAAAATAATTGGAATATGAGCATGAACATATACGTACAAAAAGTAGCTGTTAGCTTAAATAAAAAAATTATCTGTTAGTTGAATTAGCTTTCATTCAACTGTCTTCATTGTGCACCAGCAATTGGACCAGGTGTATAATTAACATTTACACTTTAATTTACATGGCAATTTAACTAAACTTCACTACCGAGTACCTCGATACAGGATGAAATAACACGAACGGTGCGCTCACTGTGCGCTCACAATTTGCTGACTGTGTGCTCACTTTGTACATGGTGTGCTCACCTTGTACATGGTGTGCTCACCTTGTACGTGGTGTGCTCACCTTTTACAACATGGTGTGCTCATCATGTACATGGTGTTCTCACTGTGTGCTCACAATTTGCTGACGGTGTGCTCACTTTGTACATGGTGTGCTCACCTTGTACGTGGTGTGCTCACCTTGTACGTGGTGTGCTCACCTTGTACATGGTGTGCTCACCTTGTACGTGTTGTGCTCTTTGTACATGGTGTGCTTATCATGTACATGGTGTTCTCACTGTGTGCTCACAATTTGCTGACGGTGTGCTTACCTTGTACATGGTCTGCTCGATTGAATTTTTGTCCAAATGGAAATTAATGTACAATAAAACCGTTGAAACTTTTATAGAAGTAGTTCCGTAAAAATGAAGAGGTTCAGCGAATAAAGCCATGAGGAAACAATAAGCTCGATGCGGAACTCACTGTGGTAAAATACGTAGATATAAGTTTGAGTTTCGAATATTAGGATTCTAGAAAACAATATCTAAAATCAAGGTGTCAAAAATCAATATCTTAATCAAGTCACTGTTTCAGGTGATTATCTCTCTCTCCAATTCTCACCATATATTGCCGGTGGCAACTGAGCGCAATGATTAAGGAGCAGATCAGCTCAAATAAACACAAACGTCAGGGCGGAAGACCAAATAGAGGCGGTTGGATGGATTCTTATCTGAATGAGACAGATAAATAGCTTTAGCCTAATTTTAACGGATTCAAGGTTTTAACGCAAAGGATTTCAGTATGGTTCAAGTAAAATCACAATAATGATAACACTTTCAAGATAATCAAAACAACTGACCTATTTGTTTTCGTTGAGGAATCCTAGACAAGAGTTCTTATGTAGAGAACTAACTGAACTATGAGAAAGAAAATAGCGAAAACAGTAACAGAGTGTTCGCTCGTACTTATACTTATACAGAGTGTTCGCTCGTTCGCTTTAAAACAGTAACAGAGTGTTCGCTCGTAGAGAGTTAGGCGCATGCAAGCATGCAAGTTAATTCACAGCACTAAGGCAAGTGACAAATCTGTTAAACTCCGAAGCTACAAGGAGTCAATAACCCTACGGGTTTCAACCATTGCCGTAAAGCCAGTTATGTAAGATCTTAAACGAGCGAACACAGAAGTGCTAACATTCATTTAAATGAAACAAAATAAAATTAAAACACACTCGCACAATAAAATGAAAACACACTCACACATTTTATACCAATTAAGGTATAAAAATCATAGCTGCACATGAGTAGCAATACGGTTTGAGTAGGAGGTCTTCACACAGGTAAGGTTGAGGTAATAAATCACGATTGAGATAAAGAGCGTCGACTCTGTCTCCTAACATGCGACAAACAGCAAGCGTATAAACAAACATTAATGACGTAATTATATAATCAATTTCAACAGCTCACCATTTACATAGTGTGTTCACAATTTGCTGACTGTGTGCTCATGGTGCGCTCAACAACATGACGGTCATAGGTGAGGCGTGCTGACAACATGACGGTTATAGGTGAGGCGTGCTGACAACATGACGGTTATAGGTGAGGCGTGCTGACAGCATGGCGGTCATAGGTGAGGCGTGCTGACAGCATGACCGTCAGCATAATTTCTATATTTTGAGAATAATGAAGCTCTGTCCGCAACGCAGTCAAAAGCGATATATTCAATTAATCATAAATAATAACTGGTAAAACCAACCATTTGCCTGCCCCCGTTGGCTTGTGAGGTGTCCTACGGGGGCGTGGGGCTCAGCTTGTCCCACCGATCCGTGGGCCCCCGGTAATTTATTTAAAGACTCCCTTCCACCAGACCCACCGGACGGGGGCGTGGGGCCCGGCTTGTCCCACCGGTCCGTGGGCCCGGTGATCCGCGTGTCGGGCCACACGTCGCTGGAGCGCACGGCGCTGGAGTACAAGCCAGGCGAGGTGTTCGAGGCGCTCTGCATCGCCAGCCGAGCCTTCCCGCCTGCTGATCTCGCCTGGTATATCAACGGACTCAGGGTGTGTACTGCGAGATCTAATTAAAATTCAACTTTATCATTAGATTTAATATAACATTGATTTCCTTATTGTCTTGTCGTTTCTTGTTTAGTGCATTTTTATTTGTTATTGTGTCATCTCATTATAAAAATGGGTGCATTTCGTCCCTCCTACTAACCTGGTATATGCACGGGATCAGGGTGGGTGCTGCGAGATCTAATTAAAATAAAACTTTGTCACTAGATTTTAACATAACATTTATTTCCTTATTCTCCTCTCATTTCTTGTTTAGTGGCATTTTGAGATGTTATTATGTCCTCTCATTATAAAAATGTGTGCATTTCCTCCCGCTTACTAACCTGCTAAATTAACGAACTCAGGGTGGGTGCTGCGTCATTAAATTAAATTAAACTTGTACCATTTGATTAAATTATATATGCGTCATTAGATTACATATATAATCGAATACCTAATAAGACTTATTGTCATATTATTTTGTTTGATGTGGCATTTTCATTTGTTATTATATCACCTGATAACTAAACGGGTCTTAGTCCCGACTATTGTGAATAGAGGATTAAAACAAAGTGTCTCAATTATTTCGCTCGCAAGAAATGATTTGATGGATGTTTGAATTAGCCTCTTGGCATTAGAAGGATGAGGACGGCGTTTTATGTTAGGTACTGCGACTATTTGTTTGTAGTGCCATTTTTATATTCATAAAATTATATTTAATTGTTCTTCAATTTTTAGTTTCAGATTAGATTATTGTACTAAGATCACTAGATTATAATGCTGAGATATTTAGATTATTATGCTAAGATGATCATATTATTGTCCTATGCTGACATGATTATTATGGTATGATTACCAGCTTATGGATGAGTTTGTGGATGGTGTTCAACAACTTCGTTAATTATTCTTCAGATGAGCGGATTGGAGCTCTTCAATTAAAATGTTTGGATTGGAACTCTTTTATTGAACTGTTATAGGATGCTGCCACCAGAAAATCAAATTCCTTAAATCAAGAAAGTTTTTCCTGGTGAGCGGGGAACTTGCATAAAAATTTTAGGTTTCACGAAGAATAAAATTAACTTACAATTTCTAACAGTATCGGTAATGAAGAATATGGACAATCTTAACGGGTCTGTATATGTACGTCGACAAATTTTTTGGTCCTTGAATACCTAATTTTTTGTTATTTTCAAAATTTCCGCTCATGGAAAAAATAAAATGATATTTTTTAAAAAATCACTTTTAAGCCACCATGTTTGCTCAACTCGCGAAAAACCTTTAACGATGTACAACTTTTACCTTCTCTTAGGCAGACTGACGATCAATAAACAATTTAGTTTGGTAACGAACAGAAGGGTTTTCGGACAGCCTCTCATCAATAGGTTCTTTGCAGCAACTGCTGCGCTAAGACAGTCAATTATCTGCTCCGTGGGCGCCTCCTTACCGGCGTAGAAACGTTCATTATTTTTGTTCAAAGCGCTTGACTGTTACTAGTCTCGCACGCCTACGAATCTAGTTTTACTAAAAACTATCATTGTTTTTCTAAAAACCATAATTATTTAACTAAAAACTATATTGTTTTACTAAAAACTACAATTGCTTCACTAAAAAATGTATTGTTTTACTAAAAAGTAGATTGTTTTTATAAAACTATAATTATTTTACTAAAAACTATTATGTTTTACTAAAAACGGTATTGTATTTCTAAAAAACTATACATGAGCCATGTACTGATGGCAGCCATGATAGTTCGCCACGTAACCGAGCCCGATTAAATATACATATATTTTACATATGTATATATTTCACTCTTTAGTAAATAGAATTGTGAAATAAGAACACTACTCAAAACACTTATATTTCATTAATAAAATCATGAAAAGAAAAAAATAGTATTTATAAATATATATTTGTTTTACTTTTGTCTAATTTAGCCTGCATGAAAATAGGGCAATCCTTTGATAAGATCATCAGGAATACTTCCCTGCCCAAAGTGGAATAAACGCTTATGCTCTGTTTACTAAATGTAAAAGTTAAAATGAATCCTAGACAATTATATCTATTCCAGTAAATCCCTAGAAATATTCATTGTTTCACAAAAATACGAATGCTTGGAACTTCTTTTATTCGCTAATTTTCATTTAGCTCGAAAATGTTTGGCACAATCTGTAGATATAATTTAGACATGCTAAACAAATTTCCTATCTTCTAACATAAATATTTGTTGAAACAAAAAAAATGTTTACATTTACTCAATATAATTTCTCTAAAGCCTCCGATAATGTTTTTATGTCCTACAGAAAAATCTTCGTATGTTCCTCTCACAATTATTCCTGATGGAACATTCTTCGTCATGTATTAAGGTAGCATATTAATAAGCCTCTGGCTTTGGCTGATCTCATACACGAGGCTACAAAGTATTTTTATTCAATGTCTCTGACGCTCACGTTTCTTCACAGTGCAATTTAACAATTTAGTTCAGTATCGAAATTTTTCTAACTTTTGATTAACATATTTAACCACCGGAGAACATTATCATTTAGTTTATTTGAGAGGATATTTTTGAAATAAATTAAAATCAAATTGTTTATCAACAAAAGGATTTTTTGTGTATTTATTTTTTTTTGTATTCGGCTCCACACGCCCGTCCCACATGAATCACTGTACAATAAAAAGCGATTTAGTGCATTCACATGCCGCGAATATATATTGCATAATTCGAGTGATTTCTCTTTTTAATTGTTGTGGATTTATTTGCTAGGTGCCAAACACTTTGAGTGCTTTCTCTGAATGAAAATTATGATCATTATATGCCCTTTTTAATTGCTGTGGATTTATTTGCTAGGTGCCCAATCACTTCTTAGTGCCCCTGCAATCGATGGTGCCACGTCCCGAGGCATTCAACACGTTCACCACGGAGCTGTGGATCAAGTTCCAGGTGGAAGAAGTTCACTTCGATCGCGACGGTCACATGCAACTGACCTGTAACGCGACACTGGCACGTCAGTACCACACCTCAGCACACATCCTTCTCAAGAACCCGCTCATGAGGCGGCCCATGCTGTCGGGCTTCTTTTCTAATGCTTGCGGTGAGAAGAATAATTATGTAGTTATACCAAAAATTAAAAAAAAAAAACTTTGCTGCACGTAGTTATAAAAAAATTTCAAAAGAAACTTTGCTGCTAGTTATACCAAAAATGTAAAAAAAACTTTGCTGCACGTAGTTTTACCAAAAATTTCAACAAAAATTTGCTGCACGTAGTTATACAAAAAATTCCCAAAAATAAATTTTCTGCACGCAGTTATACCAAAAATTAATAAAAAACTTTGCTGCACGTAATTATACCAAAAATAAAAAAAAATAACTTTGCTGAACGTAGTTATACCAAAAATTTCCAAAAAATAAATTTTCTGCACGTAGTTATAAAAAAAAATTCAAAAAAGCTTTGCTGCACATAGTTATTCCAAAAATTAAAATAGAACTTTGCTGCACGTAGCTATACAAAAATTTCAAAAAAACTTTGCTGCACGTAGTTATACAAAAAATTTACAAAATAACACTTTGCTGCATCACATAGAGGTTTGTTGATATGGATCTCTAATACCCATTAAAGTATGCAATGTAGCAAAGCGACGCAATAATATCTAAGTCTTTCAACAATGATATCGGCATCGTCAGCTCTATTCGCCCATGTTTGCATGGTGAGATACAGGTTTTTTCTTAAAGATAACTTAATAATAGAACAAATTAGTTAAAATTAATGAATTAAAAATCATAATTAAAATTTTAAAAATTAATTAATCATGCAAAAATTATAATTAAAAATAAAAATTTAATTAATTAAATAAAAAGTTCTCGTCCGAGTACTTTGAGGGTATTTTTTCAACAATCTGCTAGCACATAAAAACGCTTGCCACAAGCAACCTGTGCCGCTAACTTTTTTCCATTATAATTTGGTTTCAATTCGTTAAACTGTTACAAGTTGTTTATTTACGTCCTGTTTTTCTGTATTACGTGTTATTACATATCCTTCGACAGAATATTCCAGCGTTATTTTTGTTTCGTCTTGAAACCAATATTCTGCTAGTTTAATAAATGTTTTTCGCTTTCGAGCTTTATTTTGTGCGGCAAATGATTTGAAAATAGTATTTTCAAGTTTGAAAATGGATTATGAGCGCATGTGTTGAAATATAATGCGGACATTGCTTGGTCAATCATTAGTTATAGATTGGTCACCAAAATTTATAATATTAAAATATAATTTACGATGTAACAACGTATTTCAATTGTTTAGCACAATGTTACCCTGTTTCATCATAAGTAATATCAATGAACCATTCATGTCCTTGGCACCATTTTAAAATAAGTATGCATATTTGTGATTCATCTATGACCAAATCACTTATCAGTCTGAAATTAATAGGTGTTATGAGACACATTTGGCCGTCTTGTATTTAAATATAATTATTAGTTTAAAATAAAATCGTTCAGTGTGACCTGGCAGACAGATCTCGGCACATCGCTCTGCAGTGGCCAGTAAATATGTTTTTTCCTATTGCAGGTTCTTCACCAGAAGGGAACGTGAGTGCGTGCGCTTTGTGCTTGCTTATCATTGCGTTGGTTGGGCCAGCTAAACTCTGCGGAGAGTCGTTGAAGCATTTCACGACCAGGACAGATAACCGTGGTCGACTCTCGCGGCTGCTCCGATCTCAGATTAAAAAGAAAGAAGTATACTGCAAAGAGAGAATAGAGGTTAAAGATCACAATAGAATAGGCATCGCAATGTGCAAGGGAATCAAAACTAACAGCAGTCCAACAATTGAACAAACAGCAAACGAATGTATGGACGCGAAAATAATTGTCTGATCATGGATGCTCAACGTCCAGGAGACGGACACGCTCAGGCTTTGATCTGTAAATTGTATGTGTGTTGGCACAGAAGTTAGACCGGGGCAAAAATTGATTCTTTGCATATGAACATATAAATGGCTCAAATGCAAGCCATGGTATGAGAAAACATAAGTTTTAATGAAATAAAATAGAACTTGAGAGAGATACACACACATGGAAGCGCTTGCCACGGTAATGTATATAATTATTGTGCGAGAAAGATTAATACAGCTTTTGCTGAATAAACTTAGGACAAAATTTCGTCTCTCAATAAATAACTAGAATTCTGAAAACTGAAAGAACTAACAAACATATTACCCCAGTCACTTGATTCATTCTTGAATAATTCAAGTAATTTCCTTGAATTGAATAAGTCAATGTGATTGCTTCAAAACATTACGTTTTTGATCGTTTATATTGGCTTTAGTTTTCGTATGTGAAGTTTAAGATTGCTTAACAAGAAGAATTACAGTTAAAAGATACATTTTCCCGTAAATCAAAACCATAATAAAAAAATTAACGTTGATTTTCTTAAATGTATATATCAGCTTGAGGTCACTTATGAACTAGATTTTTTATGATCGCGAAGCACTAGCAAAAAGCACTCCAATAGTTGAAAGATTGTCGGTACGATGATAATTTAAAACGATGTTTATTCGTTCTTTTTTAAGCCTATATTTAAGGTAACGAACACATTCTACAGCTTTTCAAAGTTTTCAAATTTGAAATTCTTACTTCAAGTCTTAATCAGAAATTATTTTGTGTCAGAAACTTGTTACCATAACATATTCAAATAATCATTTGGTATAATTTGTTCGTTTCTTATAGATCGAACTTTTGTGAGGCGTAGAGTTCCCAGAATGAACCCGTGTTTCACCATGTAATAATTTTACTCTGAAGGTTAAAAAACAATTCAATTCATTCAAATAATACTACAAACAATTAAAAAAAATTCTTACACGAGGACATTTTCTTTAATAGAGAACTCCTGAATATGTTGGATTTTAGCAAACTTCAACCACGTGTAGATGACATTTCTATTTAAAATGTCCATTGTGAATTTATTTTCTTTCAGGCAATTTCAATGTATAATTATGATTGATGTATCATTCCGAGAAATTTAGCTTCTACTGACCATGTAATATATGTGAATGTAACTATATTGAGCTCAGGATATTCTTTAGGTCTATAGGAATGAGCACTACGTTCATTTCTGTAAACTGTCTCAGGAATTATTGATTTTAGTATTCATAATGATTTTTCATAAGAAAAGTATGATGAAGCATCAGAATACATATTTCCGAAAAATCAATATTACTTACGCGTGGCCCACGAAGTTGTCTTTCTACCTGATGTGTTTAGGCATTTATAAATTAGGCGCATCATATATTTTAAAAGATACAATTACTTTTTGTCGAAGATTTTTTTTCTGGCTTAGTGGCTCCACATCAGGCGCTTAGTAGAACTAAACTTTAATGAGAGCGAGACTTGCCTCGGTTGATCCAGCGACTAAATTAATATAAAACAAATATAATAATCACTAAATAAATAAGCATGCTGGAAAAATACAGTTCATTTAATACAACAATTTCTACGTGAATCAAGTTGGAAGTCCACACATTTTGAGAATTTGCGCAGTATTCATGCCATTTTGCAGCGAATTTTCATATTGTAGTAGGAAAATTTAAAAGTTATTTGATTAAGAAATTGTAGGGGAAAGACATTTACCGAATAATCATACACAATATAAAAATTATTCCATAAAAATATCTTACAGATTAGTTTAATGTAATGAAAATATTTTCATTTACTTTTGTCATAGCTTTTTTTAGTAGCATTACTGTAGTATTTCTTCGGTAGCATTACTGTGGCTCACTGCGTTTCTTCTTAATGCTGACTATCAACAATAAAAAGTGAATATAGGAACTGTGAAGGTTTCTGAAATCATATAATTGGAATACAGCAATTAGTTTCCCAATTGGAATTGGGTTGTAAATTCCTTACTTCGTGATCATTCGATTTATTCGTGAGCGGGCGTTTCCATTTACATGTTCCGTCAAAAATTTTATAGTATTATTTCAAGCAAATTTTTGGTACAGCAATTTTTAATTTTGCAGCGCGTGACATCATAAACTATATATCCAATAAAGTATTTGCATTTAGAACCTACAAATAACACACATCTATTAAACCTCAGAAAATAACGTCAATTGTAATTAGAAATGTACAAAAATTATTAACCCTTTGATTAGCTTTTATTTGTCTTTGATTAATTATTTGTCATTGGCTGTAATTGAGTATGGGTCATAGCGTGGCCTACTCATCGCTGATGAAGTTTAAAGTGCAACCTGCATTATAATATAAGGTCAATAGTCGTGTACATGGTAGAAAAGCGTAAATTTTTATCAGCCTAATTTACATAATAATTATTAATTACATGCTAGTTAGTGGGAATTGATTCATTTATTCTAAATTTTATGGCATTCCTTATTATGTTTTAATCGTGGATGGGCACTTAAATATTTCTCAATATTTTTATTAAGAAACTTCACAACGTGAAGTTATGAATGGTAAGGTAGCATTCACTAAAATGCTGAAATTGTAAATAACTTATTGGTAATTAGGTTTAAGCTAACACAGCTAATTTGTAGAAGTACTAAAGTAAAAGATATAAAATATTTAATTTATCGATATTCTGTATCTCTGAAAATAATTTAAACGAGAGGCTATTAATTTTAATTAAAAAAAGCTTGTGGTACAACCAAATCTTGTCTAATACATCGCTGCTTTTTAATGTATTTTGCTGAGATAGTTTATCTATTGACAAATAATCATGTCAACTCAAAATAAATTTAAAGTGTAAAATACTACTGACTTTCATTTGTATGATGTATCCTTATGTTTTTAAAGGTTTCTCCGATGTCATCTAGCATGCAACTCAGCTCGGTGCCAAGATGGGATGTTAAGCTCACGATTGGCACAAGTTGCCTTCGAGACTTAGTCTATTATTAATCCGCTATGATTTGTTATTGTTATGTTATAGCTGCTAAAATCTTCCTATTTGACGTCACTAAAGTGCGAAATAAGCAACATGCGAAAACTTTTTGTCAATTTTATAGTTCTATAACTTAAATTTTCAGGTAACTACATATTTCTGGACTTTATAGATTTTTTTCTTGACAAGTGCTGAGAAGAGAAATTTAGAGCTCGAAATAAACCAATTATTTCAAATCTCTTTACATCAATAGTCATCAATCATCAACATGTACATCAATACCTATCGTTTACTTTGATTCCTGTAAATGTATAGTTGTGTTCGTGTAGGGAATCAGTTGGAATATTACAGTCACTGCGTTCTTCAGGAAACGACTTGAAAATAAAGTTTGTCATTTTGAATGTAAAGTATCTTGCTTAGTTCCAAACGTCTTGCTCTCATCCGCCGGAGCTGTCTCGAAATCGAGAGCAATAAGACCATCCTAATTTGACTAGCAATGCCTGTAGAATCATCTCGATATGCTACCTCTGCTGAGACTCGATCTCGATCGCAATCCGGGCTCGGAATTCGCTTTCTAAGGACGAGCATAATCTCAAGTGTTGACCCAAATCATACCTTCTCGATCTGGCATTCATGAAACGATTTGCAGGCGGAATAGAGAGCTGCGTTTCAGCTTCGAATTTTGCCTCGGAGCGGCTTTCGATCGCCGCGCTTCTGAAATCACGCTCTCCACTTAAATCAAATTTCTTAATCTATAATTTAAAGTTGAGTTCAAGTTGATATTAGCAGGATTTTCGTACCATGTTTGTTTTATTTCTAGATGTTTACTTCTGCAATTTGTCTCTCAATTTTGAAGTTATAGAAAAAAACATATAGAAGCGAAATTCCATTGCAACCTTTATTGGTCCAGCTTTTAAATCAAAATTTAATTTTTAAAGGATCTATTGCATAATGTAACTTTTTTTTAATGTTTCGAAAGCGAGAGAGATTTTGCTATTTCCCCTATTTTTTTAAGTTTTCCTTCGTTTTAATGCAGGAATTAAAGTAAAATTGTATTCAAGAGTGTTTTTCAACAAATGATCAAAATAATATGTTAATGGTAAATAGAAATAATAGACAAAATACGTAAATCCTTTAACGGAAAAAATGAAAATTAACGAAAATTACAGTCTCTTGCAATCCAGTCTCCTTATGAACTGCCAAAGGAACAAAATAAATTTCTTGGTCCTGTTCAAGTTGAATATACAATTAATTTTACACAATCTTAAGTGTCAATATAGTAATAAGTCGATGTAATAATTATCAGCTAAATCTATATTGTGTTCTTTAGTGCATTTTGGAAAGGTAGTGCATTTTTGCAGCTAATCAATTGATTACAAATACAGTAGTAATTGATTACAAATACAGTAGCAATTTTTCCCGCTGTTACCATAATAATGCTTTTATTCAACTGAATGTTATTTGAAACTTCTAATGTTTACAGAGGTAACATATTTTCATTTTGAAGCGCAGTGCTCAAATTATCAAGACAACTATAAGATTTGTCCAGCTTTGAATTCACGAGATACGGAAACTTATTATAGTTGATCTATAATCACAATTGGCTGAAAGCGATATATTTATTAGAAGAACATTTTTTAGACAAAATTTCTTTCGCATCATTCATATCTGCCACTTTCAGACAATTTTATGTAATTAGAGATATACACTCTCTGCAGGTTCGTCCATTTTGGACGAACCTGCAATTTCTCAAAATCTTTCACAAATTTCAAAATATTCTTCGAAATGTGGCCGCAGTCTGAAAAACTTCAATGTCCTCAACCATATTTGGACTGTCCTATCTCTGAAATATTCGACCACCACATTCATGTTTGAACGCCTTGGTTATATTTGAAAACACCAGTTATATTTTGACACCACAATCACATGTCCAGTGCGGTCTAAATACCTGCACAAGACGCGTTGTTCACAGCCCTCATATGAGCATCTCTTTGCAAGGCCAGCATTCGCAGTCATTGAGGGGAAGCTGTCGAATCCTCGGGCGCCATAAGAAGACAATTTACATTCACAACTGGTCCTAAGGAGGAGCGGAGGGGTGGATGTATGCAAGGTGCATGGAAGATGTCCACACGTAACCTTGCTTGTCCATGCTGGCTAAAGCTTCTAGACTGAGAATGTGCTGTGAGATTTAGGCGTCTCGTAACCAAACTGGAAAGAAATGCTTGTCATGTTGTTGTACAAAGAGTATAAAAGTGTTTCGTTGTATCGCACAAAAAGGTGATTTGGACACATTGTGCAAAAGGGGATGCACTTGCTTTCCCACAGTACAAAAAAATATAACTCAGTACTCACTGAGGTGAGTGAAAGAGAGCGCATTTTCTCGTCGACGAAAACGTGAAGTCACGGACAGACGAACAGACAAACGGACATGACGAGCACAATAGTGCCTTTTGTCCATAAATGAGAAAATGAGCTAAATTAAAGGACCGTCCTTGCATTGATAAGTCCCTCTGCTGTCTCAAAGGAGATCAGATTGACCAACAAAAATTGCATCGCTATTTGGGCACTCTTTAACTCCATTTAGCAACTTGCTTATTTCACACGTTTTCTGCGCGATTTGTATAGACACGTAAAACTGCTGCATGTCCGCAGTTTTATTAAAGGTCAGCAAAGTTTTTTCAGAGTGTTCACGCGAATAGAACACTATTGAAGGCATGCGAAAGTACTGTTCCATTTACGATTGAAACGAATTTAACAGGAATT